GCGGCTGCGCGGCGTGGCTGACGGCAGCGCGGCGCTGCTCTCGGAGAGGTCACTCCGGAGACGCGTTGGGCTTGGGGTGTGTGGGGTCGGTGACACTATGTGGCGCGTCTGTGCGCGACGGGCCCGAAATGTGGCCCCCGGGGCTGGGTTCCGGGCCCGGTGGACGACCTTGAAGGAAGGACCGGGCGCTCCGGGCGCGACCCCGCGGGCTGGCCCGGCTTCGGCTCGTGGCCACTGCGCGACCGCTAGATACGGCGGGGTCCGGGCGCTCAGTGGCTGGAGCCTTAGCCGCGGGGCCACCACGCGGAGTCGCCTGCTGCTGCAGCTTTTCGGAGTGCCGGGCCGCCGCTGTTACAGTCTCCCCCCTCATCAGAAGGTGAGCAGCAGACCTGCCCTTCGCGGCACCCCGTTGTCCTTCAGGGCGGACTTCTTGGTTCTTCTTCCGAGGCCTCAGGGATTCTTCACTCTCCCCATCCCCCCCAGTATAGGTCAGGGTCCCTGCGCCAATACCCAGCTCTGCTTTAGCCCTTGAACCTCCCTCTCGCGATCTGTTCCATTGAAAGAAGAGCACTGAACGTGGGCCGGCGGGTGGAAAGTCTCCAGAGATGGGTGCCCCGTCAGACCCACAGGAAGCCTGCGAGGACATGAACTTGGGGTGCTAGGAACTCCCTTTACATCCAGTGTGCCCATCCCGAGAGGAGACTCAGTGTAGTCCCTGCGTTAAATTACACTTAATTGAATGAAACATTACACCAGAACGAGAGTGACGTAGCCCTTTTAAATGTAGTGTTTCACCTTTTTCTCTTCCAGGTTCCATTGCCTTCTCTTTCCCCCACAATGCAGGCAGGCACCATAGCCCGGTGGGAAAAAAAGGAAGGAGAAAAAATCAATGAGGGGGAACTGATTGCAGAGGTATGTTGTTTTATAGTATGGAAATGAATTGGTTTTGCCAAATCGACTGAGCATTAACCTACCCGGTGATGAGTCTTCCCCTTTGGTTAAGTAACACAATTGTTTCTTATAATTCGCTAGAGGTGATTGGTTCAGTAGGTTGTCAGCAGCTTGCCACATAGGTTTTCAGCCACAACGTGGAAAAAAAAACTCCTTTCAGATCTGTGATCGAGACTTTATCATCGCCTGAATGCTTAACTGTATGGTTTTAGACACAAGCTAATGAAAGTCGTACTGGTGCTCCAAGCTTGAGCTCCTGCTTTTGTGTTAAAAGGTTGAAACGGACAAAGCCACTGTTGGATTTGAAAGCATGGAGGAATGTTACATGGCAAAGATACTTGTTCCTGAAGGTACAAGAGATGTTCCAGTAGGATCCATCATCTGTATCACAGTTGAAAAGTGAGTAGTTTCCTGGTCAATTTTGGAACTTAGCTTAGGATTAGAGGAGTGTTTTAACCCAGAATTGAAAAACAAGTTGTTAAAAGCTTCCAAGGCTATTTCTGTAGGAGCTGAATCTGCTTTATAATCCCCTTATACTTATGCATTCTTTCTCTTCCTTAGGCCTGAGGATATTGAGGCCTTTAAAAATTATACATTGGATTCCTCGGCAGCACCCACCCCACAAGCAGCCCCAGCACCAACCCCTGCTGTTGCTGCTTCGCCACCTACACCTTCTGCTCAGGCTCCTGGTAGCTCATATCCCACTCACATGCAGGTGAGGCTCAGCCTCTGAATGTTTGCTCTAGATAATTTTTCATTTTATTTTTTCATGGCTGTCACATTCTGGAAATAGGCATCAAATGTGACTAGCTCTTGTCATTTGAAAGTAAATAGAGATTTTAACATAAAAGTGATCTTTTTTATAACAAGTTATTTCCAGGTGGGTAAACTTGGACAGGTTACTTTATCAGCCTCAGTGTATGGCATTTCTCATTCAAGAACACGATATTAGGCTTTCAGGACCATTTGTACTTACATCTACTCCCTGTGTACACAGTTTGTACACAGTTTCTAGTCACTCTCAAGTGCTGGATATTGAATGAAAATCCTCAGTTTATGTTTTCCTTTGACATATGGTGGTGTTTCCTAAGAGTTGGGGGAAAAAGTACTATAGTATTAATAAATGAGAAAACTGACAGCATGAATATAAACTACAGCATAAATATAGACAGTATACTAGCATGACAACAGAGCTGAAGTTATTGTTCACTGTCGATTTTATTAACTAGTGTGTCAAATTTTGTCAATTTATTAAATATTAGAGTAATCCCATGTACATTTGTATGTTCAGATATTGGAAATGGATAAAAACCAACTGTCATTTTTCTGAAACATTTAGAGTAAAACTTTCCCTTCACATTTTTTTGGTAGGAATTTTTGTACAGGAGTCATTTTCTTTATAAATAATGTTCCACTTCTTGATCTGGTATTAACAATCACAAATAATGAAATTTTCCTGGTGTTCAGTCCACACATTTATTTGATATACTGTTTAGCAATTTCTATCTCATTACATATGACTTATTTTACTTCTTTTGTGTCTGTGGATTTGAATACAGCTATCAGGGATATATCTTAATCATTCTTTATAATAGTTTATAGAGATTATTGGTGCCACTGATTTTTAAAAAATAGTGAAGAAGACAATTCTAAACAAGAAAAACTTTTAAAATTCTGATTAGAATTCTCAGTCTGTTTACTTTTTTTCCCTGCCTTTCTGAGACAACATCAGTTAAAATTATTTTTTTCTCTGCATAATTCTATTCCTAATTAGATATGAAAAACTAAGAAGGCAGCTCATAAAATCTGTAGTGACTAAATAAGAATCCTAACTCAGTGGATGTACAAGCCATAAAAATAGGAGAGCAATTTTTAATTTAGACCAGGAAATCTGATATTTGGACTTTGTTGACCGTTGTAAGAATAATTCTTAATATTGTTGTTGGCTTTTTTGTTTGTTTGTTTTTTACTCTTGGAAAGGTACTTGGGAAGCTTGGGAGAAAAGCATTTCCTTTGAGCAAAAAGATAGGTCCTAATATAGAGCGCAACGAAATTTTAATTGGATAGTCTGGACCAAGATCATTCTGTGGAAATAAAAACTTCTAGTTTGACCATCTAAAGAGAATTCTTTCCCATTTGCTCATTGCTTTTAACTTTACAGAGTAGGTTGGAATATAGCTGATTCTAGAAAATTTGAGATTTAACTGATGGGATACTATTGAGGCACTCGGCTTTTGCTTTTCTGGGGTATTAGGCAGATGGAATTGGGATTGTCGTAGTCACTATCATACCATGGAACTGTTCAGTCTTGCTGGGTGCCATGTGTTCAAGACATCCTAGTATGAAGCAATAATGTGTGTTTGTTTTTACAGGTGGTTCTTCCTGCCCTCTCTCCTACAATGACCATGGGCACAGTTCAGCGGTGGGAAAAAAAAGTGGGTGAGAAGTTAAGCGAAGGAGACTTACTGGCAGAGATAGAGACTGATAAGGCCACTATAGGTGAGATTTCTTCATTTTTTTTACTTTTTAAGTTTTGTTTTTTTTTTTTAAGATTTATTTGTGCATACAGAGCTGAGGTACAGGCTAGAAGTGCAGGGGCGGTGAGAGGCTTCACCAGAGACAGAGTGGGGAGCAGCAGGCGGGTCAGGAGAGGTCTGCCTCGCCATGTGGTCACCTCCGATGATGGGAATTGGAATCATGCTGAAGTGGCTTTAGATTCTTAGTGGTGTGCTTTACCCTGCTGTGCCACCAGAGAGGGCCTGATTTCTTCATTTTTTTAATGATTGAGGCACTAAGTTTCCTAGTAAGGAAAGTGGATTGCCCTCCATCTTAGATAATGAATGAGTGGTAGCACGTAAAATTTTAATTCTTGGCATTCATTTCCTAGAAAAGAATATCTCATAACAAAAATGTAAATAGACTTAGCAATTTCATATCACAATCACACTGAATTATTAGGCCAGAGTTTGCTTCTTAGCCTTATTATGTTGCTGGCAAGCTATGTTAAGACTACTGTAATCTAAACTGGGTATTGGGGAAAAATAGAGGAAACGGAAAAAAAATAGCTTTAAAAGGAAGAAAATTGGGCACTCCCTGGTGGCATGTGGGTTAAAGCACAGCACTATGAAGTTCTCTGCAGCCACTGCAGCGTCAGTGTGATCCCTAGCCAGCGAGGTGACCCACATGGTGTGGCAGTCCTCTCCTGACCTGCCCACCGCTTCCCTCAGCAGCATATTTCAGTACATCTGCCTGTTCTGCTTCCCACTCTGTCTCTGGTGAATCCTCTCACCCCCTGCACTTCTAGCCTGTACCCAGTTCTGTATGCATAAATAAATCTTTTTTTAAAAAGCAGGAAGATGGCAAACAATTTAAGGTGACTTTGAGGAAAAACTGAAGCCAGGGTTTAGACTTTCATAATTTAATAGAATGTGTGTGTGTGTGGTCTTATCACACACACATATGTGTCTATGTATGAGTGTTTAGTTAACACATTGTGCTCCTTTCCTGACTTTTATGCTTAGCAACAAAATCCAGTTGTAAAGTTGTGCTAATATTTATTGATACTTGTAAATACTATGTATTCCCTGCCCAGTGCCGAGAGAAGTAGCAGTAGCTTCTGTGGGCATCCTCTGAAGTGGGTGTTTTGGACTGTTCTTCAAACCCTGTGATTGGTGATGGCACCTTGCCACAAAGGAGAACTTAACAAGCAGGACTCTACAGAGCCCTGCCCCCCTTTCCTACTTCCACAAAACTACTTGTTCTTATTTTTTTGTATATTGTGTTTCCTCTTAAGACTTTATTGGATGAAAGGATTCTATTAATTTGAATACCAGTGTTTCCATAAAGACTAGTATTTTATAGACTCCGGTCTCTAGAGAAGTATGACCTTGATGAAACTCTTTAAATTCTGTTGTGACCTTTGAGTCCCTTCTTGTTAAATGTCTTTTATTAGATAATAATACTCAATTGGGAAATGGAAGGATTCCTATTGATGATTGATGTGTTCATCAAGGAGGCACAATGTTATAGGAAGCCAAGATTCAGAAGGCAGATCTACTCTGCAAATGGCTCCTTTTAGTTTTTACTTCTGCTAGCCCTTTAAGTTCCTTGGGAAAAAAGCAGTAACTGAAGAAAATGTAAGTTGTCAACACCATAGAAACCCCAGTTATGCTATATTTCTTCCAATATTTAGTGTCATACCAAATACAGCCTCTCTGAAAAACTCCAAAGATGTTTTTAGAGGTGTAATCTCACCCCACTATCCAGCTGGTTGCTCCTTAACTTGACATCTCTGTGGCTCTGACCTTTAACACTACAACTGGAGCCACGTTGGTATAGCTGGTGTCATCCTGGAGTCTCGTGTGTCTTTGTAGAGGCTGCCATTGGAGGTGTTTTTAGGAACAACTCTCAGAACTAATTTCTGTTTGAAATCTCGTGGTTTTATTAGCAGACAATTATTGAGTATTTGCTTTGTACCAAGTATTTCGAAGTACTTGAAAAGTGTTAATTCATTGATTCTTTGTAATCTTCCTGTGATGTAGTTACTGTTATCCCCATTTTATTTTAGGTAAAGAAGTGAGACATCAAGATTGAATAGCTTACGAAAAGGTTATTATATAGCTTGTTTGAAAGAGACTAGAAAGAGAAGTCTTTTACTTAAAACCTTCTTTGACTTTAGTGGGATATTGGAGTTCTTTAAGTCCCTAATAATTTCTCTTTCTATTTAAGGTTTTGAAGTGCAGGAAGAAGGTTACCTGGCAAAAATCCTGATCCCAGAAGGAACAAGAGATGTCCCTCTAGGAACCCCACTTTGCATCATTGTAGAAAAAGAGGCAGATATACCAGCCTTTGCTGACTATAGGCCAACTGAAGTAACTGATTTAAAACCACAAGTACCTCCACCGCCCCCACCTCCGGTAGGTATGCTTCTAGATATAAAGGAACACTTAACCTTATCGCTGAGTTATGGAAAGTGGATTAGTTAATATTTTAGGTTCCTAAAATATTCTAAGATTCTATGAATAAAGAAGACAGTAAACTTTTGTGGAGGCTTATTAGGGTGTTTGGCATTGGGCTGTTCACCTCATTGTCAATAGTTTGATTCTTTTTTTCTTGCTGTCTTGAGTCTAGCCAAGAAGAAAATTTAAGTAACATGTTCTTTTTCTGCTTGAAGTATAGATTTACTTAGGGAAGATGGTGCTTTGTTTTGTGTTTTCAGTAGAATTTACAGTTCCTGTGAGTGCTCTTGGTATTTTACATATTATGGTAGATCAAGTTTATGTTTGCAATACATTGGAACCTTGACCTAGAATAACCTGTTTTGCACAGAATTCAGTCTTTACATACACTACACAGTCTGTATACTATACAGTCTACCTGTGGCATAAGCTCGTATGAAGTTGAAGCATCAGTAACACCATAATTAGACTCCCGCAGAGGCCGCATTCATCTGAGTTTGGGCTAAGCACATGTTTCCAAAGAAAACTTGATTACTGTCATACATTCATGGGAAACTGACAAGTAGCAGTGTTAGTTTATTTCTTAAGGTACTTTCATCATGGAACCTTGTTGGTTTATTTCTTAAGGTACTTTCAACATGGAACCATCCAGCATGATTTTGTATTTTGAAATTAGATTAAGTAAAAACAAAAAGCAGTAACTGGTGAAGTAAGAGAATCAGAGTAATGCGGCAAGAGATTAAAGTGAAGAAAGGCTATAAAGCTGTCATATACGGTCAGCAGTATTAAATTCCCTGCCTCTCCATGTTGTCACAGAGTAAGATCACTTGACTTATTTCTGTCTTTGATGTATTGTTACTATATTTCTGTTGCCATATCACTGGTTAAGCAGGTTATGCATTATATTTGGAAACAAGGTGAAAGTTACTTAGTTGAAACTACTGATCTTTCAGACCAACCTTTGCAGTAGGGAATTTATAATTTGTGACTTTTCTCAAAAGGTGGCTTCTGCTCCTCCAACTCCCCAGCCTGTAGCCCCTACACCTTCAGCCGCTCGCCCAGCTGCTCCTGCTGGACCAAAGGGAAGGCTGTTTGTTAGCCCTCTTGCAAAGAAATTGGCAGCCGAGAAAGGGATTGACCTTACACAAGTAAAAGGTAAATCTGTTTCGGTGGAATGGGACTGTAAAGCTAAAATTTAGTTGGATTTCTTCCTTAAGACCATCATGTACAACTGTATATAAGCCTCTTGACTGTGATAGTGGGGAGAAGGGTGAAGGAGGGAAATATTTCCTTTGTTATCCTTGCAGAGTAGGGAAACATTTTGTGCTAGTCTATCAGGGCTACAGCCAATTGTGATAGCTTTTTTATTTTTCTCCTGTATTCATGGGAAATGGCTTACTGGTGGTGGTAGTTAATGCTCCTGGTTAGCCAGGTTGGGTTACAGGACTGGATTGTGTAATAAGGTTAGTAATTGTATCTGAAGAATTTAAACAAAGTAAAGAAGGGTCACTTATTGGATATTTAGCAATACTGGTTAGCTTACAAAAGTTAAAAGTGGAAAAATCCCAATATCTTATGCAGGCCGAGTTATGTGGTTCATTTATTATTTAAACAAACATTCGCTGAGTATTATCAGTGTATGCCACTTGTTCATATAACAGACAATATTTCAGTTTCATTTGCTTATATTACCAAATAAGCAATAAGGAAAGGAAGAAAGAGAAAGGATGTACAGCACAGTAATTAAGGCTGTGGGCTTTGGAACTAGCATGCTTGGATTTGGATTCCGACTCTGCCTTGTACTAGTTGTGTTCCCTTTGTGCCCTAGTTTCTTCAGTTCTGTTTTAACATAGTACTTCATATGAGAATTAAGTAAGTAATAAATAGTGCCTGCACACAGAAAATATTATATAGGTATTAGCTTCTTATTATTAAATAAAGTAACTTAATTGCTAAGAAAGAATGAAACCGAGTAGATAAAAGTAAAGTAGGACTGCTTTTAGACAAGATAGTTAGGGAAGACCTTTGTAATGAAGTGGCATTTGGTCTGATCTGAAAGCTGAAAAGTCAGCTTCTTCCGTGAAGCACTGGGGTAAAAGTATTTTTGAGTAAAGAGATCAGAATACAAAGTCCACAGTGGGAAACGGTGCATGTTTGGGGACTTTAAAGGAGAGCGGTATGATGGAGCATAGTGAATAGAAGGTCCGGCGGTAGCCAGTGAGGTTGGAAAGAAATATAGGGGTGAGAACGCACAGGACTTTATAGATTGTGATAAAATTTGAATTTTAAATGCAGTAAGAAGCCATTAAAACATTAAAGCAAGGAAACGACCTAGAATGATATATATCATTTAAAAGATCGTTTTGACTGCTCTGTGGAAATGTATTAAAGGAAAGCCAAGGCACCTTTTAAGATGCTGTTGCTAGAGCTGCTGGTGGTGGCTAGACAAGAGTGGTGGTTACAACTTTAAGGTACATTACAACAGAACTTAGTCAAGTTCTTAGTCAACTAGATTTAGGTACTTGTCAACAACTTCAGGAGAACAGTGCAATAAAATCTAGTCTGAATTGCTTGAAAAGTGAAAAGTGGATGAAGTGGAGAAAGCATGATGGTCAACTCATTCAAGAAGCTTTGCTAGGAAGTGAGGCATAAAAATAGAGGTGTAATTTTAGGAGAATGTGGGCTCAAGAGAGGGCTTTTGAAAGTAAGTATGTTCGGTTTAGTATGAAGTTTCTCAACTGTGGTGCTATTGGCATTTTTGACCAAATAATTCTTTGTTGGGGCTGTATCCTTTGCATTGTAGGGTGTTGTCCTAGTGGCCTCCATCCACTGGATGGTAGTGCCCCTATTTTGATTACCAAAAATATCTTCAGACATTAACCAGATTGTCCTCTGGTTGATAGCCAGGGGTCTAACAGAAAGGAATAAATAGATGATGCCGTAAGGGAGGAAGGGCAGGATAATTTGTAAGGAACAAAGTTTATTGATAAAATTGACTTAAAAGTAATAAGGGATATTTTGTCTTTTTTTTATGGCAGCAGAGAATAAGGGATGTTTATAGGTTTGGTAGTAGTAGATGAGAGTTCATCTCTCGCTGCTGCTATTTGGTCAATAAAGTATGAAATGAGGGTATCACTGGGGGAAGAGTGGGGAGTTTTGAGGGTAGAGAGATTGTGAAATATTGCTCTTATAGATTGGGAAAGTGAATTTAAGGGAAACAAATTTGTGGTTAGGTTGTGGCGCTGGGTTTATAGTACAGTCAGCCAATATGTACTTTTTTTGTAGACTACTTAGAGTGATTTTATATGTCTGTCTGTATCTCTATCTTTCCATCTATTAATATTTATTGTGAGCACTCAAATCTTTTTTTAAGACTGAATGAGCTCTTGGTGTTCCCTATGCTTTGGTTTGGTTTTTTGGGATGCATCATTTCTTGCATGCGCTTGTTCCTTTTCCTCCCCTTGCTTTTAGGGTGTTTATTGATGTCTTGTGGCTTTTTAAAAGTGTTTTATGACATTAAGTTATCTGCTCTGCAAGTGTCCAGTATTTGTTTTTATTATTCTGACTTATATTGCTGCTCATAATTCTCAAATTTCTTCCACTTTGTTGAAAATGGCCACCTTTCATTCTTTCTTATGGCTGTATAATACTCCATGGGGTATATGTACCCTATCTTCTTGATCCAATCTTCCGTCTGTGGATATTTAGCTTGTTCCCTGTCCTAGCTATTGTAAATAATGCTGCTGTGAATGTTGTAGAATACAAAGGTTGGTTCGTTTCTGGATGGTTTTACATTCCATGGACATAGGCCCAAGAATGGAATTACTGCTCATGTTATTTCCATTTTTAGTTTTTTTGACGGTAAATCCAGATTGATTTTCCATGATGGTTGTGCCATCATTAGAGGTGATGAACATTTTTTCATGTCTTTTGAACTTCTGAATATCCTCTTTGGTGAATTGTTTGTTCATTTTGGCTGCCCATTTATTAATTGGGTTACTTGTTATTTTATTGTTGAATTGTACCTTGGATAGTAATCCCTTGTCAGTTATATATTGCGTAAATATTTTCTTCTATTTAATCGTTTTGGATTTTCTTGTAATGTACAAGACTTTTCAACTTTAGGTGCTCCCAGTTGTTTATTTTTGTTTTTAATTCCCTTGCTACAGGGGTTAAGTCATCAAAAATACCTTTAATGCTTATATCATGGTACATATTGTCCATGTTTTCTTCTCTATATTTTATTCTTGTAGGTGTTATATCTAAATCTTGAATCCATTGAAGTTTATTTTTTAGATGAAGTTGGATCAATGTGTCACTTTCCAATTTTCCCAGCTCCTTTTATTAAAGAGACTTTTCCTATTTTATGGTCATAGCTGCTTCATCACAGAATAGGTGCTGATTATATATATATGTATATATGTATGTATGTGTGTGTGTGTGTGTGTGTGTGTGTATTTACTTCTGGACTTTTGATTTTGTTCCTTTGTTCCATGTGTCTCTTTTTGTGCCATTGTCATACAGTTTTTAATAGAGCATATATTGCTCTATTCTACACTTTAGTCAGGTACAGATAGTTCTTAGGGTTGCTTTTGCAATTTGAGGCCTTTTGTGGTTCCTTATAAAATAATTTTTGTGTAGTTCTTTTTCTCTGGTATTTAGGGCTGGTATTTTGATGGGGAAAAATGTTGCTGGTATTTTGATAAGGATTGCCTAAAATTTATCATTTTAGGCAGGATAGTTATTTTGAATGATAATGATTCTTTCTATCCATGAGCATGGAAATCTTTCCATCTCCTATTTCATTAAGTCCTTTAGCAACAACTTGTAATTCTTGTATAAGTTTAACACCCTTTGTTATGAAGCAAGGCATAAAAATAGAGTTGTATAGCTTCTTCTGTAAGGAAACTCAGGTGCTCTGACCCGATTCAGGCTCTCACTGCTCCATATTATGAGCCTTTGGGTCAAGCTAGTAGTCCTCAGTCTGGGCCCCTACCCCTGCTCTCACTCCATCAACAGTCTCTGGGTGGCTTTTACTGCACCCCCTTACCCAGTGCAGTGTGGGATCTCAAGAGCCCCAGTTCTGCTGTGTGCTCATGTCAGTAGCTACAGGGGGCTTTGCGCAGCACCTGTTCCTGCCTCTTATGGGTTATATGGCTCCATTCTTACCCTAACAAAGTTTACTTAAGGCCTTTCCTACCCCTTTCTGCTGCACCATTATTCCTGATGTGTGCTGTGGCTGTCCATTTTTACCTAAGGATTTTTTTTTGTTTTATAGCAGTTCGGTTGTGAGTATCTGGAGGAAGCCAGCTGGGTGTCTTAACTTTGCCACCATATTGCTGGACTCACCAGTCAGAACTTCCCTCTACTCTCTTCACCCCACCCTAAGCAACATTAAGTTGATCTGGCGCTGGCACTGGAAGGCAAACACTTGAGAGTTTGATGAGGGAGTGATTACAACAATGATCCATATATAGTGTAAGCTGAGTAGGGAGGAAGTGAAGGTAAAAAGGGAGCTAATAGAGGATGATAGTGGAGGCATCGGGGCAATGATAGACTTGATGAAGTTGAAGAAATTTTGTAGTAAGAAGTAGTGGTGGCCTTCCCTGGTGGCGCAGTGGGTTAAAGCACAGCACTAGGAGACATAAGCCACTTCCGCATGAGTTCGATCCCCGCCTGCCCCGGAGGTGACCACATGGCGCGGCAGACCTCTCCTGGCCCACTGCTGTTCCCCTCAGCAGTGTATTTTGTCAATCTGCCTGTTCTGTTCCTCACTCTGTCCCTGGTGAATCCTCTCACCCTCCACATCTCTGGCCTATACTCCAGTTCTGTACGAATAAATAAATCTTAAATATATATATATATATATATATACACATATATATATATATAAGTGTGTGTATATATGTATATATACACTTATATATATACATATATACACTATATATATAAATAAAAAGAAGTAGTGGTGATCCACTGAAAGGATTGATGATTGTGTGGTATTTTTTGACACCAAATAGATGGAGTTTCTCCACACCAGCAATCAATTCTCTGACACCAACTGGATGTCCAACCATTAGTCCTATTCTGATGCTGTCCAGAGTTAGCCATCAGATTTAAGGACTCAGTTGTGTAAGACTGCCTCCCCTTTCAGATGCCAGTCACAAGTCCTGGAGGCCATCCATATTTCTGAGCTACTAACTATAAATCAGAGGTTCCCAAGACTCCCTCCACAGGTTTAGTAATTTGCTAGAATGACTCAAGAAATTGGGAAAGCATTTTACTATTACCAGTTTACTATAAAGGATATAGCTCAAAAACATTTAAATGGATGGGATGTATAGGGAAAAATACTGGGTTGTGGAGATGGCATGTGTGGTCCACAGCTTCCATGCCCTCTGTGGGCACAGCTCCCAACATAGAAATTCCCAATTTTGTTGTTGAAGAGTTGTTGTTGTTGTTGTTTTTTTCCTCATAAAAGTATATTACGAGGACACTTTTTCTCATAAGGGTGTATTATGAGTAATTAAACTATTGGCTGTAAACTTAACCTTCAGTCTCCCTCCCCTTCCTGAAGGGACAGACTTTTAGCAAATTATATAAAAATGGAATCATTCTGGGGAGAAACTTTAGTAAAACCTAAATGCTGATGTTAATAATTTGACTTGCTTCAAGACTACCCACATAATGTTTTATATTTCTTTGATGCAGAACACTTTCTCGTTGTTATTTTATCTTTATCACAGAATTTCTGTGACCAGAGCTGGTATTATAGTATCTGTTCTGCAGATGAGACTAAAGGCCAGATGAGACTAAGTGACCACAATCATCTGTCTAGTTTATGTTCCTTTTATAACAACCCTACAGGTTTTACTTTTCCTCTGGTACTTTCCCCTTTATACCATATTACTTTATGATGGCCTGAGGTCCCTTCTTAGGGAGGTAGGAAAAGGAATTTGAAGGGTTTCCACTGATTCCTAATAGTCAGGGAATTATTGTGAGTGGCTAAAGCTTAGCTTAAGGTGGTGACACTACAGCTTTCTTCTTCTTCTTCAGGGACAGCAATGTCCAGGTGAACCCTTTGATGTATGGAGAGGTTATGATTTCTGTCCTTTATAAGGCTGGGTATCTGATAGGCGTGCTGCCACCTTTGTTCTAGAGCTCATAGTGAGGACAACAACCCTAGCCAACTCAGTTTTAATGATGAAAGAGTTGGGAAGAACTGCATATGAGAATCCCTCTAAAAGTATGCCTTGAGGGTGATGATGAATCATTCGACCAGTTTTTTTTTTTCTTTTCCCTAGAGGTGAGCCAATGTAAAGGTATTTTGATAACTAAATTCTGAATCTCCTTAGAGTGCTGATGTGGAAGGGACCAGTGTGATACACCTCTTAATTGTGGTTCTTGTGTGTCTCTTTCAGGGACGGGACCAGAAGGCAGAATCATCAAGAAAGACATTGACTCCTTTGTGCCTACTAAAGCTGCTCCTGTGAGTTACATTCAACTTAATTATTTTTCAGTTTCTACTCTGGCAAGAGACTTTGTTCAGCCTACTGGAACTTCTCATAATAGTATTTGATACTTAATAGCCAGGCTGTGTTTTCCCTAACTCCAGTGGTTAGCTATATAGAGATATGAATATGCTGTCATTCATGTATAAAAGCAAAGATGGTACACTGCTTGCTTTCCAAATTTTCTTTTTTCTGAATAGTGGCACTGAAGTTTTTCTATCATATCCTTCCCTAATTGAGACCGTATTTTTATTTTCTAAATATTTGTTTTATTATGTATACAAGTACTAGTGTATAGGCCAGAGTTGGGAGGGTAGTGTAAGAGGATTCACAGAGACAGAATGGGGAGCAGAACAACCAGATTTACAACTGCTGCTTTACTGGAGCAGCAGTCAGGACACGAGAGGTCTGCTGCGCCACGTGGTCAGCTCCTTGGTGGAGGATCCGACTCAGGCTGTAGTGGCTAGTGACAGCTTGATAGCATTGAGACTTTAACCCCCTAAATCAGGGAGGCCCCCAGGCCCTGTTTTTAAACGAATGCTTGAAAATTGTTTGATTGATTGTTAAGTTTTATGTATATAACTAGTTATGTCTACCTTCTATTTATGACATATGGATATCAGCTGCAAACAAAGATTTGTCATTGTTTTCTAACACTTTTCAAGGATATGGATTACCTGATTTATCTTTCTTAATTCTTTCAATTTAAGAAGACTTTAGTTATTCTTGAAGAAATTTTACACAACAAAATACTGTAATATAAACACTGGCTTCAGGAATAATGGCACTAAGTATAAAAATTAAGAAACAAAACTCTTTAAGCAGTCCAAATCTGAGTTCCTTTTATTCCTTCAGGATAGAAATGGTTATTTTTATATAAACCTTTGAACTCTTGCTAAAGGTCTGTAAAGGAGTCACAAGCACTTGAAATCTGGTGCTTCTGCTATAGTCGAACCACAGTTACTAAGAGTTTTTCCACCCACAGGCTCCAGCAGCCACTGTGCCTCCTCCAGCTCCAGGAGTGGCGGCAGTTCCCACCGGTGTCTTCACAGATATCCCTGTCAGCAACATTCGTCGAGTAAGTTTTACCACAAATCTGGCACCAGCACTGTTGGAGGCATCATTCTTAGACTGTTTCATTGCACTTGTATTTTGAAACAGTCTCAGGAACGTTGTTTTGAGTTGAGAATCTTGGATGATTAGTTAAAGAGTTGAGCTCTGATTAAATACTCTCAGAAGGAGCTAAGTTACAGTGTGGTCCTCCATTTTCTAACTTAAAAAATACTTGGGGTAAGCCTTACTGGGGAGGTGGGACAAAGGAGCAGACAGGGCCTGTATTAGGTAAGATCTCAACTCAAGATAATTGATTCTTTAATCTCTTCATTTTAGGTTATTGCACAGCGGTTAATGCAGTCTAAGCAGACCATACCTCATTATTACCTTTCTATTGATGTAAATATGGGAGAAGTTTTGTTGGTACGGAAAGAACTTAATAAGGTAAAAAGGTCTATAAATTCTGAAAATAGTGTTTTTCCCCACCAAGCACTTATATTTTTGCCCCTATATTTTGATAGAGTATGCTGATTGATGATGAGAAATGAATGTCAATTTTAACTTGTAGAGAACATCCTGGAAATTCTTTGCTTCCTAACCCTTGATGAAAACATATTTGACACTGACTTTGCCATGGATCCATTTTAGCCTAGCCTAGTCACTGGGATGGCAGATTCCTCAATTCCCTCTGGTAGATACTTTCCTGGAGAGCAGAGTTTTTTATCTTTTTTTCCCACTGGGCTATAGGGTTATATGCACAGCACAAAATAGACTCAAGTATTAGATAAATAAATGAACAAGTAAATGAAGAAATGAAGCATTAGCAGAGCTTTGTAACTTGTTAGAGGTTAATGATGATGGCATACTTTTATTGTCAAAATATTACAGCTATTTTTAATACATTTACTTTGAAATTAAGTGTGGAACATACATGTCCAATGTATTGTTTTATTCATTTCTTTTAAACCTACTTTGTTCAGTACTACTACAATGGCTTCTTGTCTTTGCAGATGTTAGAAGGGAAAAGCAAAATTTCTGTCAATGACTTCATCATAAAAGCTTCAGCTTTGGCATGTTTAAAAGTTCCTGAAGCAAATTCTTCTTGGCTGGACACAGTTATAAGACAGTAAGTATAGCACTTCTGGGGAAAGTATATTTCATTAGCAGTTTTCTTGTGTTATCTATCTAATGTTTAGCTGGTAGTGTAAGGGGTTAAGAGAAATGGAATACAGAGCAGGTGATGAGTTCATTTCCACAGGCACACAAAGCTACTTATGAGATAGAGTTCAGGAAAAAGAGGTGTAGAGATATGTGTATTAAGTTGATAACAGTTCTCACAAAGCAGACTAAATCCTTTTTGTTCATTAACTAGCTGTGCTGGATTTTAAGGGGGTCAGGATTGAAAACAAAACCAAAAGCATTGTTTGTTAATATGGTGTCCTGTGACTGAAATGGTGCTCATTGTTGTTCATATGTGTTCTCATTTAACTTTCATGGTAACCTTGGAGTTAAGTGCTTTCATGCCCACTCTTTAGGGAAAGAAACTTAGTTTTGGTGAGTTGCTATATCATAGGGTTCTTCTATTTTGAGGAATCTCTATACTGTACTATATCATGATTACACCCATATCTGTTTACATTTCCATCAACGATACACAAGGGTTCTTTTTCTCCAGCTCCTCGCCAACACTTGCTATTTCTTGTCTTTTTGATAACAGCCATCCTGACAAGTATGAGGTATTATCCTTTTTTTTTTTTAAGATTTTATTTATTTATGCATACAGAACTGGGGTACAGGACAGAGGTGCTGGGTCTGGGAGTGAGAAGATTTACTAGAGACAGAGTGGGGAGCAGAACATGCAAAGGAACTAAAATACATTGCTGAAGGGAACAGAGGGTGGGTCAGGAGAGGTCTGCCACACCATGTGGGTCACCTCCCTGGTCCGGGATCAAACTCATGCTGCAGTGGCTATGATAGCTTCATATTGCTGTGCTTTAACCCACCAGGGAGAGCCCCATGAGGTACTATCTTAGTGTGATTTAACTTTGCATTTCCCTTACAAATGGCCAACAACACATGAAAAAATATTCACTAATTATCAGGGAAATGCAAATCAAAAAACCACAATGATTTTACACCAGTGATCATGGCCCACATTAAATAAACTGGGAACAACAAATGCTGGGGAAGATGTGGAGATAGAGGAGCCCTTTTAAATTGCTGTGGAAATGTAAACTGGTCCAACTACTATGGAAAGCTGTTGGAGGTTCCTCAGGACACCAAAATGGATCTACCATATGATCCTGTGATTCTACACCTAGGAATCTACCCGAAGGACATAAAAACACTAGTTAGAAAGGAAACCCGTACTCTGTATTTACCGCAACATTATTTATAGTAGCCAGTATACAGAAACAACACTAAATGTCCCATAAAGACGAATAGATCAAAAAGTTAGTGTTTTTATGTCCATTGTTGTTTTCCTTTGCAGTACAGTAGCTTTTAACTTGATGTAGTCCCATTGGTTTATTTTTGCTTTGGTGCCTTTGCTTTTAGTGTCAGATGAAGAACTATATTTCCAACTAATGTCAAGGAACTTATTAAGCTTTTGTTTTCTTCTAGGTCTAGGATTCTTATTGCTTCAGAATTTATGTTCAAATTTAATCCTTTTTTTTTTTCTATTGGTATAAGATTTCCTTATCATAACTGATTTTAATAAAAACTAAGCTGGGCTAGTTTTCTGTATATTTCTATTTCTTTTGAAATTTCCCAGGAGAATTCTCGGCCATTTTTCAGTTTTAACAAACATATCAGGTAATTTCTTGATTTTAACTTTTCCTTGGTTTCCCTAACCACCCACCACCCTCCACTCCCCCCTCCCCCCACCGCCCCCTACCAGAAGAACATCTGTATTAATTTCGTAGGGCTACTAAATTGGTGGCTTACAGCAAACATTTTTAACATGGTTCTGAAGGCCAGAAGTCCAAAGTCAAGGTCTGGTAGATCTGTACTCCCTCCACAAACTCTAGAGGAAAATCTTCATTTTTCTAGGGCTAGCTGCTCCGGCCATTCATTGGCTGCTGGCAGCGTAACTCCAGCCTCTGCTGATGCTCACAGGGCCTTCTCCTCTCCTCTTTTCTCTTTTGCCTCTTACAGGACACTTCCTTAAGAAAGCAGTATTTCCTGTGTGTTGCCTTGCCTAGAGCCCAGTTGTGTTTACTGCTAAAGGTCACACACTTTTATTAGAGCAGGTCTCTGTGTTAGCAGGTGCAAAAACTCATTTCCTTAATTTTGTGCCTTGAAATAGCCGGAGTTCTTTCATGTAAAGTTTTAGCTTTATCTCAGTTGTAGGACACGTTAACAGGGTCCTACAGACCCCGGCATACTATGTATACAAATTAGGAATAGGGAACTGGATGGGGGGGTGGGGAATCATTCTTTTCCACTAACCGCTAACTGAAATTCAACATTTTCTCCTATTGTAGAGAACAAATCAACAAGGTATTAATAGAACTTGTGCTGGTAGCCATTAAAATTCAGTTATTTTCATATCACATTGTAGTGGTTGCAGATGTCTTAAAATAGTTTTACTCACTACTACTTCAAAATTATAACCATTATTATATGCTGCAAAAGCTTATTAATATAGAAACACATTTTTTTAAAATAATTTGATAGCTGAAATTCAATATGCTTTTATTTTTTGTAATTTGAGCATTTTACTTTCTGTGTTAAAAACCATATTCTGAGAAGGCACCCAAATGCAGAGGTTCCTATAGTAGAGAAAAGATTAGGAATCCTACTTTTATGTTTTATATTCCCGACATCCTGAGCACTCACTGTTTTCTCCCATAGTGCAGTCCTTTTCCTCTGCTCTTTCTTTCATTTGCTCAAGTTCTGTTTGTACTCTCAACTTTAGTCAATCCACTGTCTTTCAGAATATGACAAGTTCTTTTTTGTTTAATTCTCATTGAATGCTGAGCCTTTTTTTCTAGTTAAATTTACATTAGCCAAGGCAAGTATGGGAGTTTAGAGAGTGCAAAACAACCCATGAAAATATGTCACACAAAATGTAAAACTCAAGAAATATATCTCTGATATAACTGCAGCACAGATTGAAGTAAATATGAGTCTTTTTGCTTACCCTGACATAAAAGTTCTAAATAAACGTTGTTGATTATTGAAATTTCCTTCTTTTTTCTTCTTAAATAGAAATCACGTTGTTGATGTCAGTGTTGCCGTTAGTACTCCTGCAGGACTCATCACACCTATTGTATTTAATGCACATATAAAAGGACTGGAAACCATTGCTAATGATGTTGTTTCTTTAGCAACCAAAGCAAGAGAGGGTAAACTTCAGCCGCACGAGTTCCAGGTAAGGTGCTTGTTTAACTTACTAATGTTAAAAATTATGTTACTTTTAGGGTTGAGCATTATGCTTTTACTCCATTTTCTGTCTTCTGATCCTGCCATGTATTTACACTACTACAAAGTCCTGAAAATAAGGAAGAATTGAACAGTCTATCATAAGTTGAAAAAAAGACATTTTCTAGCTAGTATGCAAAAACCAACTGACTTTTGTTCTTACTGTAATTTTGTTTTAGTAAAATATATTCCATTAAGCCCTTTTTTTGTTTTCTTTAAATTTATAGAAAGATAATTACCAAATAGGAACTGTATCTATTTAAACTGTACAACTTGATATTTTCATATATGTATACATTGTGAAATATCAACATAATCTAGTTAATTAACATTTATCACCTCATATACTTAGCAATTTCCTTTTTCTGTAGTTTTGAGGCCTTAAAGTAAAAGGTTATCTTTATATCTCTTCACAAAACATCTATCATTTTTTTCTCATTTGACACATTATTAACACAATCTGTTTTTAACCTTTTTTCTGTAGGGTGGCACTTTTACAATATCCAACTTAGGAATGTTTGGAATTAAGAATTTCTCTGCCATTATTAACCCACCTCAGGCATGTATTTTGGCAATTGGTGCTTCAGAGGATAGGCTGGTTCCCGCAGATAATGAGAAAGGGTAAGTATGAAAAAATGAAGAGAGAAATATAGAATTGTAAGCTAATTTTCATTACTTTGTACTTGGCTCTGATTTCAATTTTATATTTGTTGGCATGGCATGATATAGTAGATGGTCGAGATTTAGAGAGAATCAGAAATAAGTATAGAAAAAAAGATTATGATAGCAATTCCTATTTTACTAAAAGCAGTCATATTTACTGTAGGTCAAGAATAGGGTCTCTTTTTCTTGAAGATCCCTAATAGTAAATATATTAGGCTTTTTGCATATAGTTTTCTTACAAATACTCTGCCATGGTAGTGTAAAAGCACGCATAGGAAATGCATAATGATTCCACTAAATTTGTATTTGACCTTTGGCCTGTAGTTTACTTACCCATGCTCTTGTTTTGGTCTTTGTCTTCAAGCTACTACTTTGAGCAGTGGTATAGGGGACATGAATTGTAGGTGGGAAATAACATTACCAGGTTGGGATTGTGGGATAGAAGTTGGCATTTGGGCTGATGACTAAAAGCTAGTGATTGCCTTCAGAATACTTAGCTATGTTTTTATCTTTTTCTAGGTTTGATGTGGCTAGCATGATGTCTGTTACACTCAGTTGTGATCATCGGGTTGTGGATGGAGCTGTTGGAGCACAGTGGCTTGCTGAGTTCAGAAAGTACCTTGAAAAACCTGTCACCATGTTGTTATAATTAACCCAAGAATTTCTAGACACTCCGAAGTCATATTGGTTCATTCTTATCAAGATATTTATATATTATTAAACAGGTTTTTTTTTTTTTTTTTTAAAGTTAACCAGTTATTTTTTAGTCAGTTCAGATAAGTTATTTGTAATGGGCATTATTGAATTTTTTCAATGCCAATTACACTCAAATATTGTGCACATTTAATAAAAGCCAGATTTTAAGCTCTGTACTCCGCTAGTCAAGGTATGTGTGACCTAGCCCTTTGGTGATCAGTACTTCCAATGGGAAATGGTAATGTTAGAATGGTGATTCCCTGTTGAGCTATGTACATAAAAGTAACATTTGAGGTTTTGAAATTTAATTGCCTTAAATGTTTTGTTTAGATGTGAGGGGAAAAGTCAGAAAAATCAGTCTCTTGGAGAAGGGTTTGAAGTATAGCTTTGGAATTTAACCCTAATTTAAAATTTTCTGTTACATGAGCTGATCTATCATGGATAAGAAGGGTAGAGAACTTCAAGGAAAATAAATTTTGAAAGTCAACGTTTTTTTAGACCTCTTCAATCCACTGTTCTTTATTTTTCTATGAATTCCTAAATGGTTGTTTTACCCCCTTGAGATGAAGATTATAAATATAAATCAACTACTTGGTATAAATGAGAATTTGTGTGGGTATTTATTTTAACAACTTAAATGTAATGCTGAGAGCAGAATTCTATAGTTACCTCCAAATAAAAGAATGTACTGATGGATTTAACAGGAGAAATTGTGAAAGTGGAATTTTTTTCTCCATTAACTGGTGGGTACTTGCAAACAAATTTTAACTACCAGAATTTATTACGCAAGTAACTTTCGAAAACTGCAGCAAGTAACTATAAGTGTAAATATGTAAAACATATGTAAAATAATGGTTTCTAGTGTTGGATGTGTGCCAAAGTCCATTTATCACCAAGAACTGTTTGAAAAGGAGAAAGAGATATATTGGTGACCAGTGTGGAGTGCTGAAAGATGACGACCAAAACAAGTGATCATTCTTACTTGGGTAAAGTAAGCAAATGTGTACAAAAAAACTGTTTTGTGTTTTTCCACCCTAGCATTGTCATATGTGAACTAAGAAGGCCCTGCACATTTATTAAAAAAAATTATATAGTTTGCTAATTTATTAGCCTAATTTTTTTCAACCATTTTGTTAAGAGTTTGGTTTTTTTCTGTTAAGAATGGAAGAGAAAGATATTCAGGATAATAAAAAATGAATTGGGATCAATTCCAGACTGTCTATTGATGTTTCAATAACATCAATTTATGATGTTTCAATAACATCAACTTAGGATGATTATATTATCCTATCCAGAATTGTTTATAACTGTAAGTCTGTTGCTTCGTTATGTGTAATTATGTGGAGGTATACTCTGAAATTAGGTCTTTCAGTACTAAAGTGTCTCCAATGGTTATTATTACCTGGCACATTAAGTGACGCTCCATATTTTCTATGGCTGTTCCCTTGTTAGTGTTATACAGACAGTTCAATACATTAATTCAGTTTTCCAGTATCTGACAATTTTATCTCAAATTTAGGATTATGCAGAAGGAACAAGCTTATTACAAGGGATCATCATTAGTATGAGCCACATCTTGTTCAAATATATGAAACTACAATGACAATTCATTCTTTGTTAATGCTATGGCTCTATTGTTCCCTTGCAGGAGAAATAAAAAGTTGCCTTCAAATTTTTTTGAGTTAAAAATTAATCTGAATATAATCTAAATATGAATTCACTCTATTTCTTTATCAGAACTGAAAGATAAAGAGATAGTGTTTTTGGTTAAAATTGGATTGGTTAAAAAGTGAACTGTTCAATGTGTCTGGTCTAGTTTTTGATCTGATGGTAATTTTCATATTAAGTAAGACTCAGGGGTGGCAATGTATGTATAAACTATTAAACATTTAGAGTTTATAGAATTGATAAAATTAGGACTTTGTTTAGAATAATATAATCACAGTCTAGCTTTAATAAGCTCAAGGAGTTACTGAAGCACCTCACGTTGAGGGGTCGAAAGTGTGACACATTCGCCTGATCAGTGTGTAGTCTGACTCTGTTAAGATACTCTACTCTGAGATTTGTGAGTTAAGTTTCCAAAAGCCTGGTCTACAGGAGGAGTTGACCACATGAGGGGTCCTCACCTCATAATAATGTACAAGTTTTGGAATACCTGGAAAAATAATTACCGCTGACAGTTGATTTGAAATATTTGTAGAAAAATAATCTCTAAATCAGGGATAGTTAAAGTACATCTCAAAATATTTCAGTTTTGAGGGAAAAAAGTGTTAAAAGATTAAAATTTAAAGTATAGTACACAGTCCATTATGTTTTTCAGCAAAGCTGCCTTCCATAATGAGAGGTGGAACTGTTCTTGGATATACATTACCATTTAAATATTAAACATGTTAGATCTTGCTATGCATTTTACTAGTGAGTACACACAGCTGCTCACGTAGGTGGCACTACAGTGCTGAGAGCAAAAGCAGGTTAGGGATGGGCGTTTCTAGGAAATACGTGCTGGAAGTAGTTTTGGAAGAAAAGGTAAAGTGATAACATTAGTTTTTTGAGAGATAGGAAGAATATAATAGATGTGTTACTGTTAGGACATCCTACAGTTAGAATTCAAACCCAGGTCATGTTAAAGAAAATTATAGTTATTTTAAAATGTCATATCAATAGTTTGTTACATATACAACATTAGTCTCTGAAGTTAAATTTTTTTAAATTAGTTACTTTATAATCAACTTTATTTAATGTTCTATGCTGACTAGAATAGTAATTATAAGGAAGCTGTTTTGTATCTAGAAGACAAGGGATGGTTAATGTTTGATGTGCACACTACTTGGGATATGATATGGAAAGCTGATACCTTTGTATTGAACAACTATCTGAAAACTTTGTGAGTGGGAATTGAAAAGTACTTCACCTCTGTATTTTTGATTATCTTTTTTAGGTAAAAGATACTTGTCCCAAAGTGAATTCCTTTAAAATTGAGTTACAGCTATTTTGGATCATGTTACAATGTCTGACTATAGTAACTGTACTGTTGTATCCACTCCACAGACAATCCAATATCCATATTTGATATTAAAAGGTCTGCCTCTGTAGCTTGGACTTCTGTCAGAACTTTTATAGAGGCATGGGTTTGCATGTTATTCTATTGGTCCTGTATCTTTATTGCTGGAGGAAACCTAAACCACTATGGCCATCCTGGTAATAAAAAACTTGCACAGTCTGGGATTTATTCTTCATATAAAAATTTACTAGGTTTTAACACATTTTTTTCAACCAGTAAACCAAGAGTTCTCACATTATTTGGAAACAGAATTTTCTCAATTGAATTTAAATCATTTAGGGTTTCTACAAATGTCTTCAAAACAAGTATGTCATGGTAATGCTGTTTTTAGTAGTATCTACTCATGACCAAGTTTGAGAAGGTAAAAGAATGAATTAGAGAGAGAAAACATGACAAATGATAAGAAAATCTCATTCCATCAAAAGGCACACTTAGAAAATAGGGAATTAGTGTTTAAGATAAACCAAGTTTTCCCCCATAGTGAAAGCCCTATCATTCAAGTTTTAAGCACTGAAAACCAAAACACAATGTTCTTCTTCCCTTATGCCAACGGCATTGTGACGATTAATGTTGCTTTCTCCTTGATAAATTTTGCTGTAGTCATTTCAGTATTCACGGATTTTGGAAGATTCAGGTGTAATCTGTACCTCTCAGAGACCTCAATCAATAAATCATCCTAAGAATAATAAACCAAGAAAGATTTTATAAGATGAAACTATAAAAATATGTTCTGGCTATAATTTGGATTATTTGGATTATTGTTTGTTTTTATTCACTACTTTCCCAACACAGGATCCCATTTACAGGCAGGAGAATTGCAACTGGCAAAACACAAAGTTGGGTGCAGCTATTCTAAACGTTTTATAAGACAATGTATTTTGCATTTTTTCGTTTTATATATATATATATATACATATTACAAATATATTTTATTTTTGCATAGACAAACAGGTGTAGGTATGAGACTATTCACCATAGAGGGGAGTAGAACAGGTGGATTTATTGAAATACACTGCTCAGTTGAGCAGTGGGCAAGACTGGAGAGGTCTGATGGGGCATGTTGGATTAGCACTCTGGCTGGGGATCAAACTCAGTCCATAGCAGTGATAGTGCTGAGGCTTATTCCTTCCTAGGCCACTCGTAAGCCCTGCAATTCTAAAATACATGGCATTAACTTTGGAGTTGACCAACACACAGTAAGGAAACTTTTTAAGTTTCCCTAAGCAATGGAAAAATGTACTTTTATATTGATAAAGCCTTTAGTGAAAGTATCACAATTTAGAGGATAAATAATGTAACTAGTTAACTAATTTGTGGACTTAGCAAAAGTGGGAGAATGGAATGTTGGGAGCCTGCATTGTTCCCATTGGTTACATTTGAAATACACAGCCCAGAACTTTTAAGATTTCAGGACTAGAAAAATGGAACTAATTTTTACCTTTACCAGTAAAGAGTAAAGTTGAGAATTACTTATTTTCTTTTATCAACAAACACTGATTAAGGACAATCTATAGAGTTAAAGACCAGCTTCTTAGATACTTTTGCCCTTTATTAAAACCTCTGAGTGGATTAAAGTGGACTTCAGTAAAGCTTTAAATGTTGCCAAAATTACAGCAATTAAGACAAGGGTCATTAAAAAATGAAAAAATAATGTGTGTGGCACCGACTGACTGAATCAAGCTATAAAATGCTATCATTCCAGACTAACAAAACATCTGGATTCTACCCGAGTAGCAAATAGGCTGGGAATACTGCTTAGCACTTAAAGATGAGTCTTTAATGTTCTTTTCAGATTTGGCCAAGGTATAGAATGGAAAAGAAAGAAAAAAATAAAATTTCCCAGAGAATGGAGCTGAAGGTAATGGAAATCAGTGGGAATAAGGGGCGAGATAATCAATGAGCGCTGTCTTGGGACCTAAGCAGTAACATTCTCTACCTTAGAAAAGGGATCCTTGACAATATCTGCTTGCTGGGATTTCAGAATTGCTGCGCACCAGAAACACCGCCTCATATTTTTCCATTTCTGAATTGTTAATTTTGGCTATCCTCTGTCTGCTCCACATATGATGCAGAGGGTTACAGGAGTAAATAGCTTGTCTTAGCTATGGCATGTGGTTCAAAAGGAATGGAATGCAGATTACAATAGCAAAATCTTACACTTTGGAGCCTGGTGCTGTGATTGGAGATTTCTTCCTTTGAGAAGAGGGTTATCTGTGATAGACTGTAGGACTATTGCCAATTATTTGCCCTTCTTCTGTAGGAGGATTATATATCCCTGTCTTGTGACTTCCTGTGATTCCTGTGAGACTATACTTCCCAGCCCTGTTGATAGAAGACTTGTTCTTGTGACTTAAGTTTGCCCAACAGAATGTAGGTAGAAGAGATATTTCTATGTCTGAGAGGAAGTTTTAGGACCCATAATGTGGTTTGGCCATTTCTAGGCTTGCTTTGCCATGTAAATGGCATATCTCTGATGGAATTGTTCCTTTCCCTCTATCTTAAAATGTGCAAGACTCAGGGAGCAGAGCAGGCACAGCTGTCATGTATCTTGGGCAAGTTATTGTAAGCCATCGAGATTGAATGATGACTGACACAATTTACAGTATTACCTATTCAACTTACCTCTGAAACACTAAGCTCACAAACAGATACTGAATTAACACCAGGTAATTCGACTTTTAATTCAATTTTCAGTGGATTCTCATTCTGATCTTCCACAAGTTTTAATTCATAGTCTGGTTTCTTTATCTCCACCTGGATTTCTGTACTAGAAATCTCTTCTATCAGACACCTTGCTTTTCCTGGAACTTGGTCCTTCGGCAGTAAAAGTTGAGGAAGGTGATCTGAATTGTTCATAGTACTGCTTTTTATTTGATCAAGGGTTAGTTCTTTATGAAAAAAGGGGAGAATAACAAAATTAGTAAGATATCAGGAAATGTGTTATTGTACAATACATATAGTATTAGTCCAGATGGCAATTAAAGCTGTACCTAGTTTGGGATCTTAAAAAAAATAAGAATTTGGTTTAAAGGTCTACAGGATTTAAAATTCTTTGAGGATATACTAATATTCTAATGTCTAATATCTATATTTTTCTAAAGTTTCTCATCTCCCAAAATCAAGACTTCTAATTTGCAAAATGTACACAAGGTTTTAAAAAAATTGGTTAATTTCTCACATTCCCTTACATTAATTAACTTACCATTTCTCATTTTCTTGCTTAAATATGTTGGGTCAGTTTGAATTCCCATCAGATTTTGTTTCATTCTTTGAATGTTTCCTTTTATTTTAAATTTTGCAATATGGTAAGAGTGTGAGAGAGTGAAATGGAGTTTTTCTTCAATACATTTCATGGTCATCTGTATCAATTGACCTTTTTTCTCCTGGTCTTTTTCTGTTGCCTGGAGAACGTCAGGATTGTAGGCAACATCAAGAACTGTGTAAACATCTGTGTGTAATAAAGAACCTTGTTTCACTAGTGATACTGTTAGGTGATATAATAAGCCATATCCTGATAAAGCTATATATTCTATTCCTGTATTTTTAGAGGTAATCAGAATGGTGCAATAGACACAAAATTCCAATGATGGCATTTTACTTGGGTTAATACAAAACAAATTACTAGGAAAAATAAACAGTATGCAGTTTGCAAAAAGGTACACTTCTAGGTCATTATTAGCTATAAGTAGATGAAAATTTTTACTTGGAATGCATTTTGACAAGTAAAAGCTGGCATATTCTTATTTCCAATAATTTTTTAAAATGTGCTTTTTCTCCCATAATTCTATGTACCTGATGTCTCAGACATGTCTTCTGGTCTGCCAACACATAGAGGTACTGGATGAGTGCCTGACTGGGGAGCTGGGATTCTTTTCCACTGACATAGGTTGATAAAAAGTATTTTTTCTTTTGGTTTCTAGAAAGAAAATGATTTTGCATATCTCAAAATCTACTTTTAAATTTTTCAGTAACTCATTCTCATCACAGAATTGGGAAAGGAAGAACTTCACATAAGTCATTCCATATATTAAAACCTTGCTTGAAAGTTATATTGTTACCTGATTTTCACAAAGCTGGGATATTCACCAAGAATCCATTTGGTGCTCCCAGAAGAACTGGGAGGAGGAAGAAAGGAGTGAGCCAGGCAGCTATTTCAAATTAATTTGACCCTGTTTCATTAGTTCCTTATCTCCCTGACCAAGTAAATTCTCTCTTTAAAAACGTTTTTCATTCACATATACAAGAACTGGGGTGTAGGCCAGAGGTGTGAGGGGAGGGAGGAAGCAGGTGGTGAGAGCATTCACCACAGAGTGGGGAGCAGAACAGGTGGGTCTACTGAAATACACTGCTGAGGGAAGCAGCAGGGAGAGAGGAGAGGTCTGCTGTACCATGTGGGTCAGCTCCACAGCCTTGCTGGGGATAGAATTCCTGCCACAGTGGTTGGTGATAGCACTAAGACTTTAGCCCCTGTGTCACCAGGGAAGCCCAGAAATTCTCTTTATTTGAAAAAGCTCTAACTCTATGACTCTCTGCCAAATCACTGCATTCCTTTTAAATTTCAGTCCCCAGGAAAAAAATGGCTCGCCCTAATATATAACATTATATATGAACCTCCATTCTTACGCCTCAACACATTCTCCTACACTGCATTTCATTTTCCACTTAGAATGGGGTTTCTCTCAGATTTTTTTGTGTGTCCATTTAATTTTGTAAGCAACAGCTAAGGGCAAGCTCTTCTGGGGTTACTTCAGGATCATTTCATTCAGGACCTCCCACCCCTGGGCATCAACTCTACCTACCAGAATCCTGGTCTGTATACAGAGTTGTGGTTCTGGGGCAGCACAGAGCTGTTTTCCCTCTTTGAGCTGTTGCTGAATGAACTTCTGATAGCTCTCAGGGTTACTTTCAGCCAAATCATCTAGGAGGTTCCAGAACTGAGTAACTTGGGTGAGCAGACCGTTAGAAGATGTCTCCATGATCGAAGTGAATGGGTCTCTGAAGTCTGTGGAAAGACATGACTTAAGGGGAAATAACCTCCTGATTCATTTTTGCTTTCAGGAGACAAGGAAAACTTTAGAAATTGCTTGGTGACATTAGCAGCTATCTTAACATCTGTGTCTAAAAGATGGTGGGTCAATACCCCTTGCTCCTTTCCTTATTCTCTAGTTATCAAATTTCCCTTCCTAAGTTATCAAGCTGCCCTCTCCAGGCTTTACCTCTGGCGAGACCCTCACAAGCCCTGAAGGGACAAAGCAATCATGTTGGGGCTGGAATTGCCAGAGAACTTGTTCCAAAACCTGGTATTATCTGACTGGCAACTTTCTTCCCGGTCTAACGTTGCCACAGGTGAGTTTGGAATGAGGGGAACACAAGGCGTCCTCCATTTTCAACATAGCTTAGTCAATAAGACACGGATGCTCTGGTCCAATAAAACATGGACCAGAATGCCTAGACCTCAATCTCAGCTCTTAGTTCTTTCGCAGCGGGGTGACCATGAACAACTGAGATAAGCGACTCAATTTATTCTCCTCAAAACCAAGACTCTAATATATAATGCACAGGGTTCCCGAAACTAACGTGGGTTAAAGGAACACCTGGTATCTACTCTACGTCTTAACGATTTTGCCTTCACACTCCCTCCCTGACTGAAGAGACGTCCCACATCATCCACAGAACGAGGAAAAGAGGTTTGAGGTCTTCGAAGACGACGTTAGGGTTGAACTAAATAGGAAGCCTAATGGACAACCATTCCAGGGATCCGAGAACCCACCTCAGTTCTCGCTCTTCACGAACCGCGACGCCTGCTACCTAGGTAACCAGGCTGGGTACAACACCTAATTGGGTCCGGAAAGCTCCAGCAGGAACGATCTCTTCATATTCAGTTCCGGAGTCTCCCTTTCAGGGGCGGGGCTAGTTTTTCAGCCAAGCCCGACCCACTTCTTTCCCAGTCCGCCCCATTCCTGCGCCCGTCGGCCCCTAGAAAGCGCAGGAACTGCTCCACGTGGGAGGACCTGCGGCTGTGTTGGTGGGAAGACTTTCTCGGCACACAGCTTCCGGCCTGAAAGGGAAGTCTGCTCCCTTTCTCCCGGAGCGCTTCCTCCCCACCCCCGCCACGCGAGGCTGCGGCGCACGGTATGGGTGTGTTTCTGTGTATTTGTGTGGGGAGGGCGTTTGGCTGGAAGGCTGCCGGGAGCTCCGTGACGGTTGGGGGGCCGGGACCCCGGTAACAAAGATGGGGGACTTTTCTTGGTCTTCCACTTGGAAGCCTCGGCCCCTCCTCCAACCACTGTAAACACTTTTGGGGCCCAGTCGAGGGTCTAACCTTGCCAACGTATCCCCATCCTTGCGGGAGAGCGAACCCCAAGCCCCTGGACGGCCCAGCGGAGCGCGAGCTGGGAATGCCCCTGCCGGCGGGGCCGTCGGGAGTCCGCGCCGGCGCAGCCTCCGGCCTCCGTCCGGGAGAGAGATCCGCCTGTCTGTCTGGGCTGGGGGAGAGGCAGCGGAAGCGTGGGCCACGGGTGAGGGCAGAATAACCGGTGGGAAGGCTGCGTTTTCACGAAGGACTCGGGTGAAGCTGCAGAGCTGCCTTTGAGCCCTGACTCCTGGGCTTCCTTGGTCGGAGGAGAGCTTGTAATGGAGTGGTTCTTCGTCTCACACTAACAAGATGCCTGATTTCCTCAGGATCGAGGGGTGAGTGAGTGGTGGGGCGGTTGCACAAAGCTCCTGCTAGCTACACACGTGAATAGTTTCTTGTGGACGCTAATGTACCAAGTAGAAAATAGAATTTCCCTGAATGGCGAAATGGAGGGCGTCACTGCATTTGCTGTTTTGTTGCTCTTGGCGGTCGTGGTCCCTGACTGACGTTCTCCAATCTAGGCATTTGCTTCATGGCAATCTAATTTTGGGTTTCGAGCGTTAATGGCCAATGTGGACTTTGTTTGCCTGGAATTATGTGTCCTGGGGTAGGTTATGGTGGCTTTAGGGGATTTCATCTGCAAAATCGGAATAAACACACTTGCCTCAGATAAAATTATTTTGAGGCTTAAATAAATGGCGCTCATGAAAACCCTTAATTATATGCAGTTTCAAAGAACTCTAATGTCCACTGTCGCCTTTCTTTCTGTCATTACTGTCAGGCATTCCCTTTTGAATGCTGAGGGGAAAAACTTCCTTAGGACTTTTGACTTCTAAATCAGTGATCGTTTCTTTACTTCATGCTTTATAACGTGGTGATAAAAGATAAGGTAATAAAGGAAATTGGTGCTATTAAATGTCAGTTATTGATTCCTTTCAGATTGCAGAATGTCCCGGGTTCCGCTGGGGAAAGTCCTCCTGAGGAATGTCATCCGCCACACAGATGCTCACAATAAGGTGAGAGGCACAGCATGCGTCTTCCCTTAATACTAATGAGGGCACCCAGTATGCCAACCTTTATTTTGTAATGATTGGGAGGTAAAAATATGAAATAGATGATTATGATTTGGTTCAATAATTGCTCTACTAGAGACATCTACAAAGTGCTATCGTGCCCTGAAGAGGGAACAGTAAAATCTGCTTTGGGGAATTAGGAAAGGCTTCACAGAATGGGTAGTATCAGAACTGCTCTATTTAATTTAGTTCTTAATTAATGGGTACAAGTTACCAGGTAGAAAAGATCATTTTGGACAGAGAGAACATCATGAACTGGTAGAAAGCAACAGGAAAGAGCATTGAAGTGCTTGGGGCTTAACAAGAAATTGTGTCCATCCAGAAAATTGGAAATTTGGGGGCTAGTGGCAGAAAATGACACCTAAGTGGTAAATCAGAGCTGAATTGTGATGCTTGTGGATAAGATTGTTTACTCTGAGCAGTAAAGAAGCCATCAACTGTTTTGTGTGTGTGCTTTTATTTTTGAGATTTATTTATTTATGCATACAACAGCTGGGGTACAGACCAGAGGTGCAAGGGGTGAGAAGATTTACCAGATACAGAGTGGGGAGTAGAATAGGCAGATCTACTGAAATGCACTGCTGAGGGGAGCAGCAGGGAGACAGGAGAGGTCTGCTGCGCCATGTGGGTCACCTCCCCGGCCGGAGATCAAACTTGTGCTGCAGTGACTGCGGACAGCCTTATAGTGCTGCACTTTTACCCATTGCACCATTAGGGAGGGCCCGCCATCAACTGTTTTTAAGCAGTGTGTGACATGATTATATTTGTATTTTAGAAAGATGATTTGTTAACTGGGTAAGGGATAGGTCAGATGGGGTGAAGGAGTAGATAGACCAGTTAGGCAATTTTGCAGTGTTCCAGGTGAGAGATGATGAGGGGTACCATAAAAGAGGCAACAGTGGGGATAAAATGAGAAATTTAGGAGATACCATCCAAAGAACATAGTGACTGATGGATGGTAATAGAATGATAGCAATCAGATACAGCCACCTTATGTGACTTGGGTGAGTAATGATTGGTGCTGTTAATTGAAATAGGGTACAAAAGAAAAGATATAAGTGTGATGGGAAAGGAAATTAATTTTGAACATGCTGACGGTGAGGTACTTACAGGATGTCCAGTAGTTGGAGGACAAGAGAAAAGTTGGGGCAGTATATAAAATTTGGGAAAAGAAGTCATGAGAGTGGGTTAAGTCACATAGGGGAGCACGTAGAATGAAAAGAGGGCCAAGGACCCGTGTTTGCTTTTATTACTCATATTAGCTGATACTCTGAATATGAGTGAGGATCCAACTGTTACCTGAGCAGCCACGGCAATTGTGTTAAACCACCCGAGTTGCATGGTGGGCTTAGTTTAGAAAGTGATAGCTGAAAAGGTAAAGCTAGTGTAAATTTAGCAAAATCCTACAGGAAGATATAGAAATAAAATATATTCTTAGTCTTATACTAAGTCTTACTACTTATATATACTAATATATTCTTAATCAAACTACTACAGTAGTATGATTTTTCAGGGAATTCTCTAGCAACCCTCATACTGTTTTTTTTTTTTTTTTTTAAAGATTTATTTATTTATTCATACAGAACTGGGGTACAGGCCAGAGGCTTAGGGGCGGTGAGAGGCTTCACCAGAGACAGAGTGGGGAGTAGAACAGGCAGATCCACGAAGTACACTGCTGAGGGAAGCAGCGGGCAGGCCAGGAGAGGTCTGGCTCGCCATGTGGTCTCCTCCGTGGCAGGCGGCAGGCGGGAATCGAACTCATGTGGAAGTGGCTTCAGACTCTCAGTGCTGTGCTTTAACCCGCTGCGCCACCAGGGAGGGCCCATACTGTTTGTTTTTGACAAAAAGTATGATGTTGTGAAAAGACTTAGAAGGTTTAAAAGCCTGCTCTTAGCAGTTTTTTTTTAACTTTAGTCTAATCTTTGAACCTTTTTCCTCAGTAAAATGTTATATAAAGACTTGCTTTCTTTTTCTCATAAGATTGTTAAGGGTTCAGTTGAGATGGTAAAATTATTCATAAAGTAAGGGTTTATCATTTGCTGATTATAAAATTCATAAAGTTAGAAGGATTAAAATGTTTCCTCTTGCTGCAGAATTATGCATATTTGATATTTATTGGTTTGGGTTGTTAAGGGGAGTCAGAATTTGTTTCCCATTTTCCTGACATAACCCAGTCTGCTGGTGAGTAATTAGTAGAAATGTATTTCCAATTAATTATTTTTCTGTGTCATTAAGTGTTTTTAGTGATTTATTTTTATTTTCTTTTTTTAAAAAAATACAGATTCAGGAGGAATCAGATATGTGGAAAATAAGAGAATTAGAGAAGCAGATGGAAGATGCTTACCGTGGGACCAAAAGGAAAATATTACCCAGCAGTTCAAGGTGAAGTTGAGACTCAGAATACTTACATTTTATTCAGAATCTTTGGTTATTGTTTTAAAGCCATTTGGTATGTTTAAAGATGAATCCAGTTCTATGAGTACTTAATTCTTCTGTCTTGTATAAATATAGACTCAAGAATAGAGATAATAGGCTGTGATGCTTCTAG